TTCTTTTGATTTCAATTCAAACTATTGTTTGGTTGGATGAAATCTTGATTCAAACTTGGACTAAAAAAGATGAAAAACTATGAACTTTCTCAAGAAAAACAAAAGAAAAACTAAAGGTTGAATGATATGAAAAATATGAATAATGTTATGGAATGCTATGAAAATACAAAGAAAAAGGAGTAGTAAAAATTATATGTTTTTTAAGCTTCTCTAAATTTTTCTCTATTTTTTCTCATTGTTTTTTCATCAATTTTCCTGTTGCCTTCTTTTTTTTTTTTCTAACCCTTAATGAAAAGTAAATATCTCATGCACAAGCCATGCAAACCCTTGGATCAAATTTTTATCTACTAGTCATTCTTTCTCCCTTATTTTGTTATGTAATGAGCTAACTTTCACCTTTAGATTCAAGCCTTCAAGATCATCCCATGATTAAAAATGTTCATGTCTAAAGTTTGTATTTTTAATGTTGCTTGAACCAAATGAAAGGATTATTTTACCTCTTGTTAGAAAATTTTTTATTTTTATGTAATTTCCTTAGAGAAATATGATCCCTTCTTCATTTTAATGACTTTAACGTACAAAAAATCATCAAATTATAATCTAAAAGTTTTTGTAAAAGACTAACCCGAAGAAGGTCAAATTACAAAATTATCCATAAAGGTATTTTGATAATTTCATATCTTCCGAAATGAGATCAAAGTTTTTAAAGCATTAAAAATCATAAAATAGTATAAAATCATGATCTAGAGTATTTTGCAAAAATTCAACATTAGAAATGTCAAATTACAAAAATACTCTTAAGGGTATTTTGGTAATTTCACATCTCTCATGGTGTGATCATGGTTTTTTATGAATCAAAAATTATAAAATAATATTTAAATATAATCTAAAAGTTTTCATGAAAATTTAACTTCGAGAAGGTCAAATTACAAAAATACTTATAAAGGATATTTTAGTAATTTTATCCTATCCAAAATGAAATAAAAGTTTTTAGTGCTTTAAAATCATAAACTTCAATTTCAAACCTTATTAATCCCATTTCGTTGTGAATTTTGAAAAATTGACTCGAGTTCAAATCTAGTTTGTCTATTTTTTATCAATTTTGATAAAATTTGATTTTGTTTGATCAGGTTTGACCAAGTTTGACCTTAGGACATTTGGGTCAAATTAGTCTCAAGTTTGATTTTGTAAAATTTGTCAAAATTAAAAAAATATTGAATTTGAACCGGGTTGAATTTTATGAACCTCACAACTAGCTAGATTGTCTCGAACAAAATTAGATATATACAATGTTTAACAAATTTCAATTCAACTAAATAGCAACTGGAGTTGGAGGAAGTTGTTGCAATTAAGGCAAATTACTTGGCAGTTCATTAAGGTGGAAGATAAAGTAGAAGTTTGGCTTTTTCCAAAAAATTATTCTACTACTATTGTATGAAAGATCCTTAAGTTTAAGCAAGAAAAGGTCAAATGGCACAGGCTAATATGGTTCACATACCATATTCCAAAGCACCCATTGATCTCCTGGATGGCTATTTTGAATTGACTACCGACCAAAGATAAGTTGAAAGCCTAGGGAATGGAGACTAATGACAGGTGCAAGCTATGCAAGACTGAAGCCAAAAACAAGAGATCATACGTTCTTTAGCTATGCATACTTAAAGAAAGTCTGGCAGCGGTTGCTTCGTTTATGCAAAATTCACAGAGTAGTGGAGAATTGGGGTTCATAATTAGACTTGGCAATAGGGGAATGCATTGATATCCATCAGTTTGAGACTGGCATGGAATGCCTGCATATGCCACGTATGGAGGGAAAGGAATTCCAGAATATTCGAGCAAAAAGAGGAGACAACAACACAGCTACAAAATCGAATTAAAGATGATGTTCGAATACGGTTACCGGGGCTGAGCCATATTGCTACAAATACAATCAATAAAGAGTTATGCAATGCTTGGAACCTAAATGTAACTATGCTAGAATAGATTGTTAATAAATTGTAGAGATAGTTGGATAGTTACTTTGTAGCACAACTAGGCTTGCTTGGATAAATAAAATACAATTTATCCAAAAAAAAAATAATGTTTGAACCAATAGCAATAGCGATTTCTTAAAGCTTTATTATGAATGTAAAATTGAAGATAGAACAGTTCAATTAATGTGCAAACTTGTGTTTCAATGTTGTTTTCTGTAACTTCGTACGGCATTATTAGATCCTAAATTGTTAACTTACGTTGATGGTATGAAGGTCGTTTTAGCTACTGCGACTAAAAGCTTTTCAAAAGAACAAAATCTTAGACGATGCGAAAATCCGGTTACATTGACAAGATCAGTCTGATTGTAGCCCATGTCATGTCTGCCAACTGGATTGTATTGTACAGCTGAGAAGCCATTTTTTATTGGATTGGATTCCCATATAAACTCGTCATTGAAGCTTCAAATCAAAGAGTTGTCCATTATCATGATCTTATCATAAGAGTGCTCGACCGGAGCTGTATTTGACTGATCAATTATACCCGGATAAACACTGATGTACATTTAAGGTAAGTGTGAAAAAGATTGGCCAGTTCAACATTTTCTAACAAAACATGCTTTATTAATGTCTGCTTTAAGATTCCCATGGTTTTTTTTTTTTTTTGGCCATAAGATTCCCATGGATTTAAAGGTGTTAATTAGGCAGATAAGTTAGATTTGAGTTGTGTTATTTCGAGTTAGATCATTGTGAATGAAAAAAAATAAAATTATTTTGGATTGGATTTATCTTAAATTTGGATAATTTTAAGTTCAAATTTTTTGAATATAACCCTCGAATTATTTGGATTTAAGTTAGCATTGAATCCGAATTATTAACATTTAAAATCAAAGCAATTTAATTTTGGATTAACCTTTCAAGTTGTTCAGGTTTAAATTATTTTGTATTTAGATTATTTCGGATTTAGGTTTGGCAAATTTGAATTATTTTTTCTTAATCAAATTGGATTGTATCAGATCCAGTTCAAACAAGTTGGATGAATTTTTCAATTGAGTTAACATTGCCAGCTCTACACGGATTTTCCATGTATATATGAACGGTTTTAGGCGTTTTGATCAGCATTAATTCTTTCTCTTCCACTCATTTCTATATCAACTTCACGTTCTTACCTGAATAGCTTTAATTTGTTGATAAAATTTGACCTCCAGCAGACTTCAATTACAAGTCTTCTAGCTAAGGCTAACCTCTGTTTCTAGCCTTTTCTCTCTATATATTTTTTCCTTTTTCCTTAAATAAATTTACTTTCATTGCCTGAGCTGAGAGGGAGATGGGCAAAACCTGTTAGTCCTGAGTGAGATTCTCTATTCAGCCGACCAGCATTCCAGTTACTCAAAACTGCTTGGAATCAAAGGTAAATCAACAGAGTCTTCTGCTTACTTTGATGTGATAATTGAGATCATTTCAAATAATTATTCCAATCAGAGAAAGACGACGCATGCCTCCAACTCCCATATTTGCACAACTGTGCAACATGTCAAAATCACTAGCATATATAATAGTAAATGGAACCGTATATATATAACTATTTTGCACTTAAATCTTTGGGGTATCAATATGTCTTCTCCCCAAGAGGGTGATGTTACCTTCAATCAGAAGCCATTACAGTGGGAAGCATTGGATTCTCCAAACACAACACTTTTCTGTTTCGAAATTAAGATTAAAATGGTATGATAAGACAAAATGTGCCACATGCTCAGCTTTTGCCCCATGGAATATGGATCGCTGTGCTTATATTCCACCCTATAGCTAGTCAAAAGCTCATTCTTGTGTAAAAGAACCTTCTCCTATTCCTGTCTCAGTCTATTCTGGTATTCGTGTCCATAAATTCCTTGAAGATATATATATATATATTCAAAGAGATCACAAACAGAAACGAAAGTATTAAATTAGCAACTCCCAACTAAGAGTGGTTCAAATGGTGAGGGCATAAACTTGTTGACCATGGCTGTTGGCCGGACTGAGTTGCAAATGCAATAGATGTCGGCATCAGTTACTACTAATTTTATTATGTTTGGGAAGTGTAAGTTCAACACCAAACGTGGGCATAAGAATCTACTCCTTAGGCCGCAAATTCTCATTTGACGCTATCTATACCCATAGACAGTTGAAACAAAACAAATTGAGTATATATATATATATAGACCTAGACACTCAAATTAAGAATATAAATATTTATATATATATTTTGCAAAAAGTTTAAAGTGACAGAGGTTTTTTCATTCTAAAATATATTGAATTTACAAGTCATTTATTAAAAAAATTATTGGTAGCGAAACTCAAACCTAAACCTTACAAACAAAGTAATATAATCTTACCAATTGAACCAATCTTTATCGGCACATATGGTGTTTTATTACAAATGAATCCCATCTGAAAACATCTAATTATAATGTGCTCAGTTAATACCCTAGCATTTTGAATAGCAACCCCACCAATCAATGGGAGGATTCATAGCGTTTTCAGTGATGTACGGTACTGTTTGTTACATACGGCCTTTCTCCACTTTATTGGACAAAAGCATATAATTTGAAGTTGAGAAATAGCTTTATTTTGTTGAGGAATAAATTCTCATCATGTTCGAGGAGATAGTTCCTAAAACAAAAAAACTGGCAATTAGCGTTGAAAATTAACTTATTAATTTGGGAGCTTTTAACTTTACAAGAGACTGTAGGCACGTAGTGATTTGTACTAATTAAGGTTCATTTGAAAATACGGTGAGACGTGCTTTTATAATTGGAGACTTGTGAGAGTCCCTCCCACCACATGCGAAATGAACCTCAGTAATGCATGAAAATACCAAAACTCAAAGCAAAAGAAACATCAGCGATAAAGAAAAGAAACGTTCGAAACCTGCTAGCTCAGCTGTGTCCTCTCTTCAAGAAAGTAACAGAGAATCGACTGTAGAGCCACCCCTCTATAAAGAATACCAGCCACCAAGTTAAAAAAAAAAAACCCCAACTGCCTATCTCATCGCCCTAAACAATACCAAAAAATTCTTGCCTTAGCCCGCACGTAACCCTTATTCCATTCATCATTTTCCTCCCTCCTTTATAAGTCCTGGAAAATTATAGAAAGTCTAAAGGAAAATAATTAATCATGGCCGGACCTAGTAGTAGTAGTAGTAGTAGTAGTAGTAGTAGTAGTAGTAGTTTTTTGTCGTTTAAAACCCTGTTTGGATTCTTTGGAGCTCTTATAGTTTTGGGGTTTATCTTAGTTATGGTAGTTGGGACCCTGCAAAGTGAAGGAAACAAAACAAAGACGACATCGAAGACTGATCATCAGTCATCGTCGTCGACGGGGGAGCTGCAGCAGGAGGAGCATGTGAAGAAGGTATTCGGTAGAGGAAAGTCAAGCGTCTTGCACCCACTGCTGGATCTCAACTACATGAGCAAAAGAGGAGTGCCTAATGGACCAGATCCTATTCATAACAGGTGTGCTTCCATTAATTTTACTAAATTATACAGTATCTAGCTAACATACATATCAATTATATGCTAAAAATATATATTCTTTTATTTTTCTAATATCATGGGAAGGAAAAATTAGTATAAATTTTGTATTTTCCTAATAAGTCTTTCTTCAATTTCCTTTTTCAAATTTTTAGGAATTGTTGTAATTAAGCTGTAATTTTTGCATGCTACAGTTTTTCATTCGACTTAGTATATATATATATATATATATATATATATATGTCTTTCAATTCGAGTGTGTTTTTATACATATGGAAAAATAGCTTTGTCAACAGTTTCATGATTTGTTGTTAAAATATTAAGTTTTTAATTTCAGTAATTAAGATTGAATTTTTTATGATTTCAAGAAAAAAAAAAAGACTTTTTCCTTTAATTGTAGACTAATGGTTCTCAAATAATAATACATTAAAAACACTCCATGAAATCTTGGAGGCATTTGTGTGTATATATATATATATATATATATATGCTTTTAACTGTTACATTGAATCTTATTGTATATGTGTGGTCCATTATGTTTTAATCTCCATTAGCAACTTACGACGAAGAAAGAGGAAATAAAGCATGTGACTTCGCTTTATTCCATCTTAGGGTATGTTTGGTTTGTAAGAAAATTTTTTTTGCAAGATATATAAATGAACATAATCATATATATTTACTTGTTAAGTGGACGCAAAAACTTGAGTTAAATTACTGGTCATTGAACAAAATCACAATATCAAAATTATTTGTATTTATAACATAAGTTCTTCACATCGAATGTAAGAATTTCTTCACTAAAAGCTATTGACTACCGATATCTCTTTTTCACTTTCTCCATTTTTTTCTCATGGGAAACCTTTTATATTTTTCTCTTTTAAAAAAATGGTTGAATGCCATTCATTCAAGAAAAAAAAGATAGGCAATATTTTTATTGATTTTGTAAATTCCCCGTGGTAGTTTTTTCCATTCAAAGAAAACTGCCCAATGTAATTGGTTTCTAAACGTGGGATATGCCTACTTATTTTATGTGGCTATTCCAACATCTCCTACTAACATAGAATGAGTGTTAAACTCCTATGATCTTGAGAACATTTTCTTTATTCAGGTTCATACAAGGAAATAAACAATGTAACTAGCATACTTCGAGAGCTCAGTTGATATACAACTGTTAAGTGCATATAGCAACTCATAATTAGATCTAGTCACTTATATAATTGTTAGGTATGTATAGTAACTTTCAAGTATAAGTAGAGTAAGTATGCAGCACCCTAGACCCATTTAGTCACATTTCAAGTTTCTTACGATCTCTTTTTTATCATATTATATGATATACTTATGTATTCATAATTATGTTTGACATTTCAAGCATAATTGGTCGACTTGTGAAAACAACCAAATATGACACCAGAATGATCTTCCCTTCTTCTAGAATCTCTCAATTTTAATTCAACTGTGATCCAGATATGCCCCATTAGATCGAATCATCCATGACCATTGGCAACAATCCAAGATAGCTAACATTAAACTAAAACTTTAAAAAATAGTCAAAGGTTCTTGAGGGTACTAAATATGAGATACTCTTATCTCAAGGGTCTCACACAATAAGAAGTAGAGATCTATTCTTTTATAACCTTTGTTGGTAGAACAATGCACATGTGGTATGAAACACATGTTACATTATCACTTTTTTTTAAGAGCATATGTTTTTCATCATTTATATATCAATATCATACAAGTGACAGTTTAGATACTTCCATTATCTAACTTGAGTCTACAACTCTACTTGATTTTATATAATCAATAGGAATTCCACTTGGCATATTAAGATAGACAAAGTGAATTATAGGTTTCACCTTCGGTCACAAATCTCAATATCGAGTAACCTCATCTTGATCTTTTATCAAGGCGATTCCATTTTAAGTGTGGGCTTACGATCTATAGTTTCAAAATAATCTCATCTCCATGGTGCCAAACCATTGAAGTAATTGTCTGTGTGAGAAAACCAATCATCTGTTTAACATACTTATCGAATCATATCAAATATGTACATATACATATACATGTGTGCATGTATCTCAAAACAAAGTACTAAACTTTAATGGCATTAATTGTATTAAGTATAAGTTAACTAAAATGAAAAAATATCATACATTTTTCATCTTTAAAATTCTCTATTCAGTAGACCATCATTTCATACATGTGCTCAACATCTATATAATCTTAAAGATCTCGTATGGGTATTAAACACATCTTTAAATATGGGCTTAGTAAATGAATCTGCAATTATCTTATGCTTAGAAATATACTACATGTTGATTTTTTTTTGTGCAACTATGTCTCTCACGTAGTTATACTTGGAATCTATATGTTTGGTCTTAAAATGATATTTGAGATCTTTTGTGAATGCAATTGTAACTTGACTATCACAATTCATTAACACTAAGTTGGACTCATCGTTCTTAAATCTTAAATTTTTCAAAAATCTCTTAAGCTAATCAACTTTTTATACTATCGTTGAACATGCTACAAATTCAGTTTCCATTATGGATAGTACTATACAAGTCTATTTTTTATTGCTCCATGAAATAGTCTTATTATTCAACAAGAAAACGTAGAGGGAGGTAAATTTTCTTTCATCTAAATCTACTTCCCAATCGACGTCTATATAGCTGACCAAATACAGATCACTTACTTGATAGCACAACAATAATCAACAGTGATTTTAGATATCTCAATATCTTTTTTAACAACTTTTCAAGAAGTTGACTTAGATTGGATTGATATCTATTTACCTTACCCATCGACATAACAGATGTCCAACCTTATGCACATATAACATACATAAAACTTCCAACAACACTAGAGTAAGAAACTCTTACCATTTGTTCTTTTTTTTGTGGAGTCTCAAGACATATTCTCTAACTAAGGCCTTCACATTTGTCATATGGGTATCTATCAGCTTGTAATCTTACATATTGAATTGTTCAAGAAATTTTTTAATGTATTGTTATTGTGAAAAAACTAACAACTTCTTGGAACAATCTCTCATAATTTTTACCCCAAGTATGTAAGCTATTTCACCCATGTCCTTCATTTCAAAATTTGAGAACAACTAAGTTTTCACCTTAATGATATACTCCTTATCATTGCCAGCCAATAGTATATCATCTACATAAAGTGACAAGATCAAAATTTATTTTTATCTTTTTTGATAAACACATAGTGATCCTTATTAATCATGAAAACATTATATGAAATTATTGCTTGATGAAATCTAATATACCACTACCTAGAAGATTATTTAAGGTCGTAAATCAATTTTAATAACTTGTACACTTTGTGCTCTTGACCCTCGTCAATGAACCTATAGGTTGTTCCATATAGATTTTCTTTTTTAGTCTTCCATTTAAAAAAGTAATTTTCACATCTATTTGATGTAACTCTAAATTTAAACTGTGTACAATGGCTAGTATTAAGTATATCCCTTCACTACCAAACGGGCTTTATATCTTTCAATTGTCCTATCTGACTTACTTTTAATCTTGAGAACTCATTTGTTCTCAATTGCTTTGCATCCCTTAAGAAGATCAACCGATTCTCAAACATGGTTTAATCTCATAAACTTTATCTCTTTTTTCATTGTTTTTATTCATTTTTTTTTAAAGATAAAAGAGCTTTTTTAACTTTTTTTTGCTCTTCTTCGTCTTGTGGGGTAATAAAAAATGCTTCTCCTTCTATGTCAAAATGACATTAGAGAATATTTTCACGATTACTTTGCCTGACTTATGATTCTTGGGAAACTAATTCACCAAATTCATCATCTTTAGTCATGATCCCACTTGGATGAGATATTATTGGGTGTTGATAAGGAACATGCATCAATTAATTTGGAACTAACAAATTATTTACTTTATCAATCTTATAAAGGGACATTTCCTAATCTATCTCACTTCTATTTAAAAATTTACTTTCTAGAAAAGTGACATCCTAAGATTCAAATTCAATTACACTCTCACTTGATTGTTTACCTATGAATATGTATCCTTTTGAATGCTCAGACTATTTTACAAATATACTTTTTTTACCTTGAAGACCTAACTTGCCATATGGATGAACAGTCTCATGCACATAGGTAGCACAACCCTAAGGTCTCAAATTATTGAGATCAAGTTTTCTTCCGATCTATAATTATAAGAGGTGGATGTAACTAATTTGGAAGGCACTCTATTGAGTATATAGGCAGCAATTAACAACGTATCACCCCAAAAGGTGATTGGCAAATTTACTTAGGTCATCATAGACCTTTCCATTCCAAAAGAGTCCTATTTCTTTTCTTAGTAACACCATTTTGTTATGGAATCCTAGGAATGGTCAACTACCTATCAATTGCATTTTCATCGCATAATTGTTTGAAATGATCAAACAAATACTCACATCCTTGGTCTTTTTTCAATGCTTTAATGTTTCTATCTAATTAATTGTGTACCAAGGTCATTTATTTTTTAAAACACTTTAATGCTTCAGACTTATGAGAAATCAAATAGACGAATGTAAAGCATGTAAAATCATTTATGAATGTGATGAAATATTGACCTCTTTTCCATGACCTAACATTCATTAGGCCACAACTGTTAGAATGTATCAACTATAATGAAACTTTAGCTCTAGTTCCTTTACCAAAATGGTTTTCTTATCATTTTCCCCACTAAACAACTTTCACATAATGGTAAATTAACTTTTTCAATAGGGCCTAATAGTCATTTTTTTGCTAATCTATCCATCATTTGTTGACCTATATAGCCAAGTCTAGCATGCCAAATATTCACATTAATATTCGCATTAGAATTAATCATAAGAAAAAAACTTAGATTATTGTATTGAATAATATCTAATATACTAAAATCATCTGATAAATATCCAAATCCATAATAAGTTATATCCAAATACAAATCTAAACCAATACTGTTGAAATTCAAAACAAATTTTAAACTAAGAAGAACAGTGACAGAAACCAAATTCTATCAAATATCATGAGTAAAAAGTACATAATATAGGATAAGGGTTTTTTCACCATGCATGTATAGCTTCTAGGTACCAATTCCCCTTACTTCAATCCTTGAATTATTTTTTACATAGATCCATTTTATTCCATGTGAAATCCAATAAAAATCCACGAACGCATTCCTATCTCATGCTACATGGTCTATGGTCTCTGAGTCTGCAATCCACAAAGAATGTGATTCAATTATCATAACAGTACTAGAAATAAACATAGTATTTTTAGCGTTACATAAAAAAGCCTTTAGGGTTGTACCTTCTTTGGCTGATTACATTTATAAGCAAAGTGACCTTTTTTGCCATAGTTAAAGCACTTGACTTTTAGTTTGATTTTCTTAGATTGAGCCTTATGACCTTGTCTTTTGCCAATTTGACTACTTTTTGGCCTCTTAGAAGCTTTCTCCTTGTTCCTATCATATGGCATGTGCTTAAAGCCCGAAGCTTCTTTTGAATTGGATGATACTATATAAGTATTAGCACTACGGTTAGATGTTTCCATATGATCTTCCTCCAGTTAAAGATAATGAAAAACATCATCGAGAGTCCTTATACTCTCATTGTGAGTAAAGTGCACTTTCATGTTCTCCTAACTATATGGCAAAGAATGAATAATAGCTTAAACTTATTGTTCATCTATTATAGTGTGGTCCACTTCCTTTAGCTTGTTTATTTTGTTTGATATCTCTCACACATGTTGCCTCATATTATGATTTGACTATTTTTTGTATATGTCAAACTTGATAGTGAGATGTCTCAATTTGTTAGTTTGGTAACTAAAGTAGCACCAAACTTTACTTTCAAGGCACTCTACATCTCTTTGGCTATTCCATGAGATTGAAACTAGCGTATAATATCATTCTCTATACTGCTAGCCAACATAACACGTGCAGTGGAGTTTTTTTTTTTCCAGGCCTCATATGCTTCTCGGTCTCTCTTATGCTGATATTTATTCCTTTCTTTGGGCTCATCAAGAACATTATTCAAAACATTAAGAACCTTTTATTCTTCAAGTACATATTAGATTTTCATACTCCATATCTCATAATTATCGTTATTTAGCTTCTTACCCTTATTTAACTCAGTAATAATGCTTTTAAAAGTAGAAGCTATTTTAAAGTATAATTCTACATTCGAGAGACATATGCACTAATTAATGTCTAGCATTATACACTTCTAATTTTGCTATAATATCACAAATAAAACAATGAAAATTATTTATATAAAAAATGAAAAAAAAGTCACTATGTTCGCAATCAAATTTCATTTTTTTTAAATGTGTTTAATTATGACTAATTCATTTCATTGCATAAAATCAATTATTCTAAGATAGAACATATCATTTAACTTAGAACTCTCATAAATCATAAGGTTACTAACATATAATCAATAACATGTATATTGATTTCAAACAAACAAGTCTTACAAAAACATAATTCAAATCCATAAACATGTTCATAATAAAAAATATATACATACTAAATGTTAATAAAACATGGATCCTAATCATTTTGAATGACTTGTCTAGGAATAGGGATAGATTTTAAAAATTTCTTTAATAGTTTTGCATTAACATTTCTCATCCATGAAGGTCCAAAAATTTTATATTTCCTACTATAGAGACTTAGGCAGACTGAACTTGGGCAGACTGAAAAGGTCGCACTCTTCTTTGCTCCCATTCTCACGTTTTCCTTCATAAAATTCTTAATTAATGTTTCATACTTAGGATCACTCCCCAAAGACATTTAGATATCTTGAAAAAGATTTTTTTATTTATTAGTAAAAAAATGTACCCATTAGCATTTCTTATTTGATCTGGTCATTCCAAATGTGCATGCTACCACACTAGATAAATTCTTAGATCATGCCATTGAACTTGATGATATTCCTTTCAATATCATCATTTGGATCCATTTGGTATTGCCTTAATTCCATCGTCAGCCTTATAACTCTAAGAAGTTATGCCAATGTTCACGGAACAATAGGAGTCCTCATAAAAGTATTCATGATTTTTTGTAACTAACATATAACAAAAAATCATGAATTCATGAGTCAACATAAGTCCAAACAATGAGTAAGGCCTATCTCAATCATTCTTGGGTGATCTAACATCCCAAAGTTAACAAGGATAATTCTTTTTAATTTTGCTTGAAACTAAGAAAAAAAATGATCCAAAATGGCAAAACATCAATGGCATTTTCTTATTCCAAAAATTATTATAATAGCATGAATTATATCAAGAATATAAAATTTTTGTCAACTCCTTTGGATGTTCGCAATGATGCAAAAACATATCATTTCTTTTTTGTAATGAAAAATATACAAACGAATCAGAAAATAATCCACCTGGCTCTAATACCAATGTAAAATAAATTTTCATGCAACATATGTATACAAATATAATCATATATACTTACTTGTTTAGTGAAAGTGGAAGCAAAAACCTAACTTAAATTATTGGTTGTTAAACAAAATCACAACATAAAAATTGTTTGTATCCATAATATAAATCTTTTATATTGAATGCAAGAATTTTTTCACTGACAGTTGTTAACTACTGATATCTTTTTTTCCTTTCTCTTTCTTCTCATAAGAAACTTGATTTTTTTTCTCTTTAAAAAAAAAAAGGTCGAATGCCACTCATTCAAGAAAAAAAATAATATATGGTATTTTTATTGATTTTGTAAAGTGCTCATGCCAATTTTTTTCATTTAAAGAAACCTACCCAGGGTAGTTGGTTTCTAAACATAGGATATGCCCACTCATTTTGTGCGGCTATTCCAACATGGTTGGTAAAGTGAAAAAGTGGAAGGATAGATAGAAGATGGTGAAAAAGTAGAAAAAAAATTATTTTTAAGTGTACTTGATAGGAAAAAAAATGAAAAAAAAAAGAATAGAAAAGATTACTATTTTCTACATTTATTTACAAAAACAAATCCTTTCAAATTAAAAAAAATTAAAAGAAAAAAATGAGAAAAGTGAGAGTAAGTGTTGTATATATACAATATTGTCTATCATTTTCAATTTTTTTTTTATCTTCTCAACCAAACACATTAATAAAAAAAAATCTATTTTCCATCTTTTCACTTTTCTCTTTTCAATTTTTTATCTCTCTATTTTTTTTATCTACTATATCAAGTAAATTCTTAATCTTGCTTATCCACAACTAATTAATATGTTGCATTTTTACAAAGCCTTTGCTTAATTAATTTTTTTGTATATATATTATCTTTTCCCATTTTCCTAGGCGAGCTGGCAACTCGAAACGACCGTCAGGACATTCTTAGGCATCAAAGTATAGAAAGCTTTGTATCAGCTAGTAAAGGATAAAAGATCATCGCTATAAAGCCAGCATATCTGCCATATATCTTGTATGTAGTTTTTTGGAAATGGGATTGTAAATACTCAAAATATTTTGAATATCTAATAAAGCCTGCATGTATTTTTTTTACTAACAAAAATTGTTACATTATCGAGAGAAACGTGTTAGGAGAATAGTAAAAAAACAATGGAATTTTGTTTCATACTACAAAATAGGCTCATGAAAAGCATCTAATGGCTAGCTAGCCTTTTTGTATCAACTTTTAAGTATGTTATATCTTTAAAAAAATATTTTATTATTAGTTGATAAAATTATTACAAGAGATCAAAGAAAAGAGTGTAAATCAATATAATGAGTGTATTATTAAAATCGTTCAGGGAAAAGATTATCCTCATATAAAATTTGAAAATACCTTTGATCGTATTTAAAAAAAAAAACAATAGATGCTAGTGGGAAATTGACAGTAGGGAATTATGTTCTTTGCAACCTTGCATATCTAAAAAGAGGTATACCAAAATCTATCATCAATCTATGCAATCAATTGTTCTTTCCTTCTGGCTTTGGCATTGGCTTTAGTTGGTTTGGTTTATTCACTAAACTGGACAAAAATTTGAGTTTTATTGTAGAAAAGGTGGGCATGGGCATGGGTTCCAAACTAAAGTGAATCCACTAATTAAAAGTGTTATGCTCTTAAAAGAAAAAGTTGTTTTGTATCTTTGTGTGTTGGTATTTTTCTTTGGATTTTTTTGGGACTGTGTTGGCCTTTGGGTCCATTCAAACTTGAAAGCATACATCAAGATTCTTATATCTCATTATAATTGAAAGTAAAACACAAAAGAGAGAGAAAAAGAATGAAATAAACATATTTATATAGCCACTAATCACCATATTCTTATCAAATTAAGCACAAGAAAAAAAAATCAAAAGAGGCTGCTCTTTCCATGCAAATTTAACTTTTTTACTGAAAATTTTAAGTGAAAAAAGACTATCTTATTCATTTTAAGGGCAAGTGTATATTAGAAGTTTCAATGAAAATTTATATTAAATTGATAAATCATCCAATAAAAATGGTTATTGATATAAAAAATCAAACCTATAAACAAAGTATTCGATTAATTTAATCGTAATAACAATTTTTTATTATTTAGTCTCTTATCTTTTGTCGTTTGTCGTTTGTTTTGAGATGCTTGGCAAAGAAGTGGTCTAAAGTAAAATTCAAATTAGGGTAATTACCAAAAAGGGAAAAAGCAAAAAGAGACAAGCTTACAAATTTTTTTATTGCATTTTGCATGTGAGAGAGTTTGCCAATCAAAATAGAAACCAAATCCCATGTCTGACTATTTTGTTTACTGAATCCAAAGGCAAAACTTATAGCTAATAGTCATTTTAAGTACATAGATTATATTTGATGCACTAAGAGTAGAAGTTATAATATAATTATTATTAGTGCATTTTAATTTGTCACGTCATTATTACTAAATTTAAAATTAAAAAATATCTTTAATTTAATATTTTGTGATATTTAAGCTTTTAAATTTTAGTTTTATTTATTAATGAAGTAATGATTTTGTTGGGAATAGTGACTCAAATCTCATAAGAGATTTATTTGAGGTTGACTAGATATCGCTTGATAGATAAAAAACTTACAAAAAAAAAGAATTTTAAGAGGAATATGATTCTTGATAGGCAAGTTAATATATTTATAAATAGATTAAGTCTCTATAAAGTTAAATATGAGAAAAAAATGTAAGAGAGTTGTAAGATTTTATTAAATAGACACTCTATAAGACTAGAAGAGATTGAAAAAGTCTTTATAGGTGTGTATGTTTAAGTGAACTAAAGAACAATGAGAGGGTTTACATAAATATGATGCATGTATGTACATAGATATATGTTTGTTTGGGTTGAGATTACTGCATAGGGCTAGAGGAGAATGAGAGGGTTTATAAGTATTAATTATTGAGTAAGTTGATTTATTGATATATTTATAATTCTCTACAACTAATTGATCTTTTTTTTATCTGTGGACATAAATTGGTTTAGCTGAATTACATTAAATTATTATCTTTTATGTGGCTGATTGATTGTTTCATTTTGTTTTCGTTGACTTTGGTGTTTAATTAATTATGGGCTATTTTTAGCCTAGCAACTACTATTAGAACTATTGTAATCCTAACAAATGGTATCAAAATCATGTTCGAAGCTTATGGATGAGATTAACAACTAGTGGTATCAGAGCATTGGTTTGAGATGTGAGAAAAGGCAAATCTAGAAGAGCTCGATTCAAGGAGAAGTTCTAGTTCATTTGTTGAGAAATCAGTTTGTGTAAACCATAAAGACATAAGAGAAGATTGTTACTAGATTTCCATTGTAAGTGCAACCAAGCATTCTAGCATAAAAACTGATAATTTAATCGAATTTAAGTCAAGATGGAGATTGTTTGGAATAATAATTCAAAATTTATAAGAAATTTGTTTAAGATTGGCTAGATATTGTTTTATGGATAAAAAACTTACAAAGAATAATTCTAAAAGAAAATAGATTCTTGATAGGTAAGTTAGTTACAAAGAATAATTCTAAAAGGAAATAAATTCTTGATAGGTATGTTTATAAATATATGAAGTCATTATAAGGTTAACTATGAGAAAATGATGTAAGAGAGTTATATGATTTTATTAGATAGACACATCATAAGACTAAAAAAGATTGAAAATGTCTTTATGGGTGTGTATATTTGAGTGAACTAGAGGAGAATGAGAAAGTCGATATAAGTATGATGCATTGGTGCACTTGGTTATATATTTGTTTATATTGAGAATACTCTATATGATTAGAGGGGAATGAGAAAGTCAATGAGTATTATTTAAGAGTGTTTGAGTTGATGTTTATTTGTAATTCTTTACAATTTGTGAATTTTTTTTCTTATATATAGATATAGGTCGATTGAGGCTAACTATGTTAAATTATTATTTTCTGTATAATTGATTAATTATTTGATTATATTTCTACTTGATTGTTTAATTGGATTGTACGCTTTTTAACCTAACAGATTTGTGGCACACTAAAATTGTATAGCATTTATATACTGACAATACATTAGATATAAATATTATATTTTTAACTTGAGATTTTATTAATTTGATTTATTTAAAGTTTATTTGACTAAACGATAAAATTGATACTTATGAGATTAAAAATAATAATGGCATAAAATTAACTACTGTTATTATAAGATTAAAATTAATTATAGGAATATATTTGAATATAAATGCAACATTAACAATAAAATTAAATTTTACATTCAACAAAATTAATCTATTGTCATAATTGAAAAATATATTTTGTTTCAATTTTAGATTAACGGCAGCCGACTAGTGTACAGGTCAATGACATTTACCGTCCAGTCTATAATTGAAAGGACAGCGACTTCAATTGCCTGGTAAATTGCTATTCAAATGTATCACTTAGCGCAATGAAGACTACTTTTTGACCTGGATTACATCGCACCCCGAATCCAAATGGAACTCGAGGTCCTTTTTCACGTCTAATTGGAATAAGAAGGAACAAGACAAAATACAATTGCAACAACTGTGGCCTGGGCAAAAAGCCCTGCGGTATATATTCGGACTCAAGTAGGTACTGCTGATTGGCCAACTTGAATGGGCTTCAATATTGTTAATTTGGGCTTACTCCTGACGCTTTTATGGTAGTCCGTACATAAACTTAATTTCATTTTCATTTGTAATATTATTTTTTTAGAATAGTTCACTTTTAATAATTTAATTTAACTTTATTTAACCGACTTGCACTGTTCTTTTATTCGGTAGTTTTGTAATCTTAGGATTTTAGGGAATGCAAAGAGATCAAATAATAACACGAACCTAATAGAAAGTTATGTGAACCTTAGTTTTTTAATAGTTTTGTTCATTTTTGTTACTGCATTTATTCGACTCAATTTAGTAACTGAAGTAATGTAATTTCAAATCCCCTCCTACAGTACAAAATTTGAAAGCTACAAATTTCTTTTTTTAAGAAAGAAAAGAAAAAAATTAAACTTAAAACTTAATTTAATTGAATCATGTAATTATTTTTAATCGATGATATTCAATAAATCTAAAATTTAAAATTTAATACGTGAAATATATTTTTTTATTTTTAATCTATGACATCTTTTTATTTAAAAAAGGTTCATAATAATTTTAACCTCGTGTTCGAAGAAAGATAAGAAATGATATATATTTAACACATTCAAAATATATTTAGTATATAAGATTATGATAAGATAAAATAAAATTATAAATAAAATTAAATTAAATAATTTTATCTTATTTTTTTGTTTGATGTGTATAAGGATTAAGATAAAATAATTTATTATTGATCAAAATTATTTTTTTTAAAATTTATATAATTTAAATTATTAATATAATTTTTAAAAATATAATAAGACATGTAAGTGTTATTCTATGAATTAAAAATAATAATCTTCACTTTAGAAGAATTAAATTATTTTATACTAAAAGCATGATTAATTTTTTTTATAATCTTATCTCTTTCTTAGATATAAACTAAACATAATATAAAATAATTATCATTATTTTTTATACATTAAATATGACTTAGGGAAGAATTCATTTAATTTAGTATTTGGGATGAACTAAGATACCTCCTTCCCCTGGTTCAAGCATAGTCAAAGACTAAACAAACTTTTGAAGCCCAAGCTAAAAGAAAGATATTTCTTTATATATATATATATATATATATATATATATATATAAAAGGGGTAAGATCAATTTTATATCTTATAATTTTTTTTTAATTTTATATATTTTTAATTATAAAATTTTGTTAGATTTAAGAGATAAAAATTATAAATTAAAAAATAATTTAATTTTATCCTTTGAATTTATCAAAATTAATATTTAAAAAATATATCAAACTAAAAAATTTTATATTAATATAAATTGATCTTCTTTTACACAAAAATATTTTAAATGAGAGAAAGTTACTCTGTTTCAGTGTCAGAAGTACATCACAAGCTTAATAAAAATTTATATTAAATTTAAGAATTATCCACCAAAACTGATTTGTCACTTAAAAAAAGAGATTTCAATAGGGAAGCCTAACCTAAAACCATGGAAAAAGAGAAAAAAAAAAAAACGGCGAGAAATACTTATATTGGTGAAGTTGACGGCATTTGTTTTATCATTTAGAAAATCAGTTGAGGAGAAAATTGGTCTCAAAGAGGAATGTCGCATATAAAACAAAAGGTCCAACTGGCTCTCCTCTTGTCCGAAAAGGTTGGGCGCTTGACATTTTAACTTTAACAGCAAAAAAGAAAAAAAAATCCAACCAAATCCATCCTATATGCAATATCAATTTTACACCTCAATCAATCAATCAGTCAGAGTACACTGTATTTATCCTAAATCAACAATCCAAATTAACTGGCAAAGATTCATTATAAATGTGACTTCAAAAGAAAAAAAAAAATTAATGAATTGCGAGATTTTTTCGTCTACTTTTTCCACGCATCACTTGCTTCTCACCAAAAGGGGACATGGAAGATTTAAATTTAAAAACCTTCCTTTTTTTTTTTTTTTAAAGAAATTTGATATTGTTGTTCCTTGAGTGATTAGCATGCAATCATTTATTAAACTTAAATATAAAAATAATTAAAATTAAAATTAAATTATCATATAAATTTTTATCATTTTATAAAATATTTATTTTTATTTTACTGAATTCTTATAAAAAGTGATAACTTGAACCACCTGATTATTATGACCATTAACATATGTTTGATGGTTGTTAATCGATTTTTGTCCAAACAAGACTTGAGGAAAAATAAATATTTAAAAATTTAATTAATTTTAATAAAATAATTAAAACTTAAATAATAATTTATTTTATTTTATTTTATTTAAACCTTTTTATTATCAACATGTTTTCTTATTCGTTTGGGATTATATATGGTGAAAGAAAAAAAAAAGGGAAGAGAGTGAAAGGAAAATATTGTTTTTTTCTTAATTTTGTAATTGGGAGAGAAAATGGAAATAAAAAGAAAGAACAAAATTTATGCATTTTTTTCTTTTCAAATCTAATATTTCTAAAAGAAAGAAAAAAAAAAACACATTTTCTGTCTTAAAATCTTCCTCATTTTCCTTTACTGTTGAATCTTTATGCCAAACTCAAAAAATAAACTTTTCTTCCTCTTTTTAAATTTTTTTTCCTTCACTTTTTTTCTTTCTATAAAACGTAACATAACGATAATTATTAAATGAGTAAAGCGAATCGATTTGCTTCTAAAATTTGAAATTTTTATTCAGAACAATTGTGCCAATTGATTAAGAAAAGGAAAAGAAAAAGCAAAACCGCCGTAAAAAGGGCCACAGAGGGAGTCAGAACTCAGAAGAACGACCCCACTTTCAACTTCTTTCATAAATTAAAAAAAAAAAAAAAAAACCCATTACTATAACTCTTCCGTCCTACACTGCTGCTTCGGTCCTTTCTTTTTTCTCAAGTAACTTCGTGTGCAAGGCTAAAGGGAACAAAAAGGAAAGGAATCCTTTACTTCCCCTGCAAGTTCAAAATTTGTACTACCATTGATAGTCTCTACGTCCACCTTGTTATTGTCTTTATTTGATGATAAAAATTCAGGTGCTCTCTTTTCTTCTCTTCTTTCTCAGCAAACCATACCAAAAGCAAGAAAAACAGAGCGTCTGCCATTGATAACTTCGCTTACTCATTGCCTTTGCCAACTCCTTTGCAAGTATAAATCTTCTACATTGCTTCATTCTTGGTTATATTCTGGCTTGTTCTAATTTCTTTTGCTCTCTTTTCTTGGGTTGTTCTTGGATTTTTTAATAACTTTGTCATTTCATTGATATTGTTTGAAAGAGAGATATAAGCTGGGTTTTTCTTTGAAAGTTTTGATTTTGATTTTTTTTTTTTTGGAGATTGATGTTGTTATAGAAAGATGAGAAATGAATTTTCTTGATTTTTTTCCCTTATAACATTGTTTTCAGCTTTATCCATGTTAACTCTTAAAATGCGCATATCTTTGCGTATGTGGATTACGTGTTATGTTAATGTTTTTGTTTTTACAGGCAGAAAATAGCAAGTGTTTCAATTTGATCAACTGGACAGTTATGGAGCCAGTTGACATGGAGATGGACATTACCCAACAACTCTCTGCTGATCCTCTCCCATTTGCCAGAAGGTGGTTTCTTTTCATCTTCTTTTTTTGATATCTTAGCTGATGAAATGGGACAAAGCTTCTTTATATGATATATATATATATATATATATATTATATTCTCGTTACCCTTTGTTATCTCAAGAACTAATGTGAGGAGTTCTGATGTTTTCTACATCTGGTTGATTATGCAACAGTTATCAGCTTGAAGCATTAGAGAAAGCTATTGAGCAAAACACAATAACATACTTAGAAACTGGCTCCGGGAAGACACTGATAGCCATCATGCTTCTCCGCAGCTGTGCGTACCTTATTCGCAAGCCTTCACCTTTTTACGCAGTCTTCCTGGTTCCCCAGGTTGTCCTTGTTAAACAAGTAAGCCAAATTACACCCTTCCTGTTCAATTCATAAAATTACTAGAAAACCAGGAGATGCTCAGTGCGGTTTTTGATGCTCAGACTTTTTGAATAGTATCTGTCCCATGTATATTTCTAGCACACAAGAAAGCTCAAATTTGGAGGCACACACATTGTCTGATGGACTTTTATGGCTGTAATAAAATCACAGAATCCAGCAACAATAATGAATTTGAGTATTATAGAAGTAGTGGATTTCTTTTCACATTACAATCTTTCCATAACATCTTTGAGTTAGTTGTGCATTGATATTAAAGTTAAAGTTAAAAAAGGCTTTTAATTTTGTTGTTTCTTTTATTGTTTTACATAATGACTAGCAAGCTGATGCCATGGAAATGCATACGGACTTGAAGGTGGGTAAGTATTGGGGAGATATGGGTGTCGACTTTTGGGATGGTGCGAAATGGAAGCAAGAAATTGAGAAATATGAGGTGCGTTTTTTTTATATGTATCTTTAATTTGATATAGTAGTGATGTAGGGCAACTACTTTCCTTCATCATGTAGATTATATATATGCTATGTGATGTACTGTCTGCTTCACTGACCCTTTTTATAAAACAAAAATCAATTGGATATTCTTCTCTGTTTGTAAATTCATTTTCTGTTTTTCTTGATATGCTTCTACCTTTAATTTTTCGTTATTTTAAGTTTTTGAAAACTTTTCTATGACCAGTAGCCAACAAATTATACAATATCCTTAAGCATCATGTTGATAGACAGGAGTTAAAGCTGGTTCTGAGTGACAGGAAAATCAAAGTGTGTTTGTTTCTTGAACTTAAAAGATATTGATTGTTCTGTTCTGGTGATACTTGTGGAATAATGGAGGTTCTGGTGTTGAATGTATCTCTTCATATTGATCACCAGCACCAAGTAAGAGCCTGCAAGATAGTTTCTTGCACATAGAAGGCTACCCTCCACGATTCAGACCCCTAGTCTGTGACACTTACTTTTGACTCTTTAGTTTGTTTGATAATGCTTTTGTCAGAAATTCATTTCTGGAGGATCACTTGAACTTCAGTCATAAAAGGAGCTATGAGAAGTGTATCGGTTTGCCCTCAAGATATATATATATATATATATATATATTGAAATATTTTGGGTATTCATACCTTTTTATGATGATTAACAGCAAGGCTTGTGGTTTAAGTAGTCTAAATGTTATTGCAAAACTTTGTGAACCATTATTTTCTTTATGGTGCCAAAAGATTTTATGCTACTCATCAATGGCATAGGCTTCATTTGTTGACTGGTGCTATAATTACAAGTCAAATAATCATGCATCTTTCTAATGTTTGTTAGATATGGTACATGAAGCACACATTTCTTACTATCAGGTTCTTGTGATGACACCTCAAATTTTACTTAATGGATTGAGGCATAGCTTTTTCAAGATAAACATGATAAAGGTTCTGATAATTGATGAATGCCATCATGCCAGAGGAAAACACCCCTATGCTTCTATTATGAGAGTGAGTTGTCTTTCTATTCGTCCTTTTTTTCATTATATTTTAATTTTCTTAACTCTAAGCATCATCATGGTGCTTATCATATGGAAATCCCAGTCTGATTCACATTTGATCAGAATTACATTGTGGTAACTAGACGGGAAATGACTGGAGGAGCTTTTGGCTTGTCTACATATACGTGACTGCTTTGTTATATGTTTTTGCATATCGATATTAAGAAATTTATCTATGAAAGTTATTAGTATGGCAAAATGTGGAAAAGTTTGCTTATAACTATATGTATAATTAAATTGGATACATAGGCAGCCACACTTATAGAACTGGCTAATTTTGTTTTCTATCTTTTACTGTAAGTATTGGTTTCATTCCACAAAGCTATGGCCGGTCAAGGTGTCATGATGTTTCATTATTGCATAAGTAGTGTAGTTAGATAATTGAGTGTGTTATTATTGGATAAATTTGAATGCTTTTGATTATCTTTTGATGGATTAAATGAGTCATTTGTTATTACAAGGAAACAAAGAAACAATAATGGGAATTTCCTTTTAATAATATATTATCTCCTGGAGTCAATCATACTCATTTTAAAAAAAAATCATTACAGGATTGCTGATTTGTGTTAAATGTGTTGTTTGGCTAGGGGAACGAGAATTATATTGCTGAAAATTAGTATTTATTGTCATATTTCAATTTAAGCATCAATCATCAGGTTATTGGAGTGTGTCAGATGTAAAGTGCTTTTTCTATTTTCTTCAGCTACATTTGAGGATTTGTTTGCAATTACAGGAATTTTATCATCATGAATCAGAAGCTGGTATATCTAATCTTCCTAGGATATTTGGGATGACTGCTTCCCCTATAAAGTCTAAAGGTGATTCAAGCTTTCAGTTTGACTTAGATTGGTTATTTGTGTTTTCTTTTTTATAGTATGTGAATGTTTCCCCCTCTCTGTTACCCTAGGGCCAAACTCAACTGATAGCTATTGGCAGAAGATCCATGAACTGGAGACCATTATGAGTTCAAAGGTTTTTTTTTTTTCCCTTTCTTTTTTGTTTTAATGAGATTATTCTAATTCAGTTTTCTTATCTTTACAAGTTCATCGTGGAGTGGAGTTATATAAGTTTATAAGGGCCTGCTGAAATCAGACCTGTTTGTTAATTGAAAGAAGAAAAAAAAAAGCCTTGAGTTGAAGTAATTGATTGAAAGAAAATTGAAAGGAAAGCTTTCCAAAATATATAAACAAACTAGATTGCCTGTAGACCTTGAGCTTTGGCTTAAATGGTCATGTTCCCACATCTGAGGTGGGTTCTAGTCCTACATCTTGCTAAAACTGAGGTTTTTCCCATATCATCATAGCAAAAAAATAGTGCCTTGATCCTTGTTATCATTCTTAAATGTTTAAGTAATCAAAGGGAGGAATTAAGATTCTGTATGGAGGGTCCTGTGAGGCAATAGGACTATGAGTGGAAGTTAAAGATAATAAAAACTGGCAATTAGCACCAAGCCTTGAAGAAGAAGAAATGAATTTTTATTGCTAACTAATAAAACGGTAAACAGTTTTAAAATTTTAGCTCTTTTTTCCTATTAATTCTGTATTATTTATGAAATAGTTTCTCTTTGTTGTTTCGATTCCTGGTGGCTAAAGCATTTGATAGAATTTTTACTCTCTTATCCTGGATCAAATCAACCTATACCCTCCCATCTAAACATTGGTGCTTTGATTAAGTTTATCTTGTTACCATGTCTCATTTGTACCATATATTGTATTATTCCATTTTTCTTCACTACAAAAATTATTTTTTTTTAATTTCTTTATCAAAAGATGTCTGAACCTTTTGCATGAGATATTTATGAGTGTTAATTCGACTCTCAAAGTACTCTTCATTCATAGTTTCACTTCATTCTATTTTCCCTTGGCTTCAGTCTTCACATCTAGGTGATTTATGTTCAACTGGCATGTTAAACATTCTGCTAATTTGTTGCATATTTTCCCTCTATTTAAGCTGTGAGACTCATGACTATGACTAAGGTTCATTTATTATACACAATGTCCCCTGTAGTTACTACTATTTTTATGTTGCCACTTGCCATACACCCTAAGCTTTATTTTCTTACAAAATTTGAGTTTGTTTTTATTCATCTAAACATTATTCCGTCTCTCATTGCAATTGGCTGGATATTTTACATTATTTTCTGCTCTATTATCTGTTGTTTGTCAATTATACAGCTTTATTTTGTTTTCGACTTTGGTTGTTTGCGGTGTTTACATGGTTATTCTTCTCATCTATCGGACTTGCACATATCCAGTCTCAACCTATTTTTCTTTTGACCTTCATGTAAATAACCTTCTGGGCAGACCGTTTCAACTTTTTTTTTTCTGTAAATATTTCTTCTCATCTTAATTGTAAAAATTAAAAGAAACCATCCAATCCAGATTAGAGTCATGTAATTCTCTCTTCTTGTACATTTTATCATTCATGATATTTTGCAATTGACATTTTGATTCGTAGAAATTTAGTATAGATCTTTGAGTTGCTTGCCTCTGCTTGTGATTTTGTTCCTTTGATACATAATTGTGCCGTTTAAGGAAGATTACATTTTAATATTTACATGGTATGTTTTCCCCCATTGAAGGTGTATACATGCATTAGTGAATCTGCGCTTGCTCAGTTTGTTCCATTTTCAACTCCAAAGTTCAAGTTTTACCAGCACATGAAAATACCAAATGTTTTATATGCACACTTGGTAGAGGAATTGAATGCTTTGAAAGTAAAGGTGTGTATATTCTCAAAACCGCTGCTTCTAATGCCAATTAGACCATTGACTGCATTACGACATGGATATGACACATTTCTTACTAATCCAATACTACTGTGGTATGCCAATTGAACAAAATGTTTTACATGTATATATTTATGTATGTGTCCCACTGGTATGGGAGATGCATTAGTACTTATCATGGTTCCATCTAGCAAGTTTTAGGACTCCTAATTAATAACCACAAATTTGAGCTACTGTCTTAGGATGTAAGAAGTATGAAAAATTATTTTGTCATAGAGTTACCATCTATACTTATGGGTGATTGTTGAAATTTGAAGGCCTGAATGTGATTATCTTGTCCCTGATGTTCACACTTCAATATACATAGTCTACTTTTTCTATTAGTATTAGGAATTAGGATGCTGACAGTAGACGCACTGGATTTCAGCATGAATGTTCATTGGGCAGTTTGGGTCTTGAAGCTTCTGCAGCAGAATCTACAAGAAAGAAAATATCAAAGATACATTCAGCTTTAATACATTGTTTAGACGAGCTTGGTGTCTGGTTGGCTTTGAAGGTACCTTTTTAGACTGTTTATGGTTTTGTTCACTTCAATTACTGCTAACAAAGTGCCATATATATCATTGAGTCTGTGTATTTGTTATAGGCTGCAGAGTACTTTTCATGTTATGAAAGTGACATTCTTCTGTGGGGGAAATTGGATGTGTTTGCTGAGAAAATTGTAAGGAACTACAGTTTGGATGCTTTCCATGCATTTGAAACATGCATACCATCTGGTATTTATTTTTTCCTCTTATATTGGGTTGATAATCAGTTGGTTTATCATTTTTCTTAAATATTGTCTTTTTTTATTTTTTTTATTTCACCATATAGGTCCAGATTGGACCATTGCTAATAATGTTAAAGCCAGTGTGGATGCTGGGCTACTTACCACAAAAATTTTCTGCCTCATTGAATCTCTTTTTGAATACAGGTAACGTGATTATTGATTGGTAAAATATGTTTAATGCAGTTTGATCCGTTTTAATCTTGTATCCTTGTTCTATCAGTTTACTAGGTGCTAAGATAGTATTGCTACCCTTTGAATTTTATCCTTTCTGCTCTCCAATTATTTGAAGTTTATTTTGGGAAGAAACTCGATTCCTTTAATAGAGCATAGATTATATTGAATTCTTTGATATGTGTGTTGTACCGTGGCTGTCCTGTACCTTGGATGATGTTTTAGACCATAGTGAGTTGACAGAGAATGATGAAACATGTTAAAGTAGTATGAGAAAATTTAAGAAATGGTAACTGAATATGCATTTAACTTAGATTTCATTTACTTGAAAACATAAATAACTTAATGTGATGAGGTCATCAATATTATTATAGATTTCATACAGAAGGATTTTAAGAATCGAAGTTGACAAAATTATCAACAAAATCTGTCACCGTCTAGACAATCCATTTCAGAGACTTATAAGATTTCTATCCCCTTAACTCTAGCTCCCTCTGTTTTCTTCAGTTGTACATTATTTCTTCCCGTTAAGTTCTCTTATGTGCCACAATGCAGGTTATTGAAGGATATAAGGTGCATAATTTTTGTGCAAAGGGTTATTACAGCCATTGTGCTTCAATCACTATTCAGTGAACTGCTTCCAATGCATAATAGCTGGAAGACCAAATACATTGCAGGAAATAACTCTGGATTGCAGAAACAGACAAGGAAGAAACAAAATGAAATTGTAGAAGAATTCCGCAAAGGCGTGGTATGTGTATATGCCATGTACGGTAGAAAGTATTTGTTGCCAGTTGCATCTGAATGATGGAATTCCATCCCTGCAGGTTAACATAATTGTTGCAACTTCAATTCTTGAGGAAGGCTTAGATGTTCAGTCATGCAACTTGGTTATCAGATTTGATCCTTCTGCAACAGTTTGCAGTTTCATACAGTCACGAGGTCGTGCAAGAATGCAGAATTCAGATTATTTGTTAATGGTGAATAGGTAATATTCTGTTTTTTTTTTTTCCCCATTTATTGTTTCTCAAATTTTAAAAATCTTTGTTAGTAGTGCTACCATTAGATAACGTATTTCTTTTTTTAGAAAGATACCATTGTAATACCTTAAAAGTATAATGTTATCACGTTTGCTAAAAAGTTTTGGAATCTTATTATTTTGCATGATTTTCGCACTCATTAGGAAAATTATATCTTGGATCTTCTTGTGTTGTTAACGATGCTCCTGGTTTGATAATTGTAGCGGGGATTCTTCTACGCATTCTCGACTGAAGAACTATCTTACTAGTGGAGAGATAATGAGAAAAGAATCTTTATGCCATGCTCTCTATCCATGTTCTCCTCTTAGAAATGACTTAAATGATGAAGAGGTCTATCGTGTTGCAAGCACTGGGGCATGTATGACTCTTAGTTCTAGTGTTGGTTTGATATACTTCTATTGCTCACGTCTCCCTGCAGATGGGTTAGTGATTATTAGTTATTAATTATTTCACATTCTACTAATATCTTATTTCTTTTTATTTATTTATTTATGTAGGTAAGGCCTTATTATCATTATGTTTCATTGCTTTATGTTTTTTTTTTTTTTGTTCTCTCTCTAGGTATTTTAAACCTACTCCAAGGTGTGTCACAGACAAGGAAATGGGGATTTGCACCCTCCATCTACCCAAGAGTTCCCCTATACGAACTGTTTGTATCCAGGGAAATATTAAAAACCTAAAGCAAAAGGCATGCTTTGAAGCGTGCAAGCAACTCCATGAAATTGGGGCTTTAACAGATGACCTTGTTCCTGACATTGTTGTGGAAGAAACTCATGCAGAAGAAATTGGTAATAATAATGCATGGTCTTTATTTTCCAAATCTTCATTGACTTGTGTATGTAATTTCAGTATATTAAAAGATGTCTAATGGAGTATCTAACTTTCCCCTATTTTCTGTGATTATTTGATATACAGGGAGGGAACCCTATAATGATGATCAACCGATTTTCTTTCCACCAGAACTAGTGAATCAGTGTTTGCAGGAGTCCATGACAAAGTACTACTGCTACTTAATGGAGTTGAAGCTGAACTTTGATTATGAGTTTCCTGTTCATAACATCATGCTTCTTGTGAGGAGTCAGCTTGAAATGGATGACATAAGTGTGGGTATGGAATTGGAAGTTGATAGGGGTATTTTGACGGTTAACTTGAAATATGTTGGAACGATATGTCTTAATTCTGACCAGGTACCATATCTGGTTTTGATGTTTTAATTTTGTTATTCTTGTCAGGTGATAAAAATAGAAAATATAGTAATACGTTTATATTTTAACATTTTTCCCTCTTTGCACCTTATCTTATTGCAGGTTACCTTGTGTAGAAGGTTTCAGATTGCTCTTTTCCGAGTTCTTATGGATCGTAAAGCAGAAAATTTGAAAGAGGTGTTAGGTGACCTTAGATCAGGGAATAATTCCCACATTGATTATCTTCTTCTCCCATCAACTTACTCAGGCCAGAATCCTGTGATTGATTGGTTATCAGTTTCTTCCATCTCATTTTCTTATGAGAAGGTCTGGAAGGGTCATGTTAACTGTAATGGTGCTATAATACAGACCAAAAGTGGTATGTTATGCACTTGCATGATTCAAAATTCATTGGTCTGTACTCCTCACAGTGGTCGTGCCTATATTATCAATGGTTTTTTACAAAATTTAAATGCAAAATCACTTTTGAAGATGAGAGATGGACGTGTAATGACCTACAAGGAGTATTATGAACATCGGTAAGCATGTTTTGTAGTTTTTTTGTGAAGAATTAATGTGGAATATGTTAATACTTCTGGTCCTTGTGAGTAACCCAATTCTCATGTGACATTACAGCCATGGTATCCAATTATGTTTTAGTCAAGTATCTTTCCTTGCTGGGCGACATATTTTCCCTGTGCACAATTACCTTCATAGGTGCAGAAGACAGAAAGAGAAAGGTATATTTTCTCTCATCATCTTGTCTTTTGGAGATTAGCAAGATGGCTGTAGATGATTTTGGCAATTGAATTCAACTGTTAAGAAAAAGTTTCACAGTGGATGTTTTGTTTTAAAGAAAAGTGAGATGTTTGTACAAAATTTCTGGTACAAAATTGGTTTAGTCTTTTGAAAGAGAAAGCGCTTTTATCACATTCTTTTTTATCATTTACTTTGTAAGAGTTCGGTTAAGTTCAGTTCAATTCATTTTAATTTTATTTTGTGTTTTATTTGTTTTGCAGAATCAAGTAATGCATGTGTAGAATTGCCTCCTGAGCTTTGTGTTGTCATTATGTCTCCCATATCAATTAGAACATTTTATTCTTTCACATTTGTTCCATCAATCATGCATCGACTCGAGTCTTTGCTCCTTGCTACCAACTTGAAAAAGATGCATATGGATCATTGTGTGCAAAATGTTACTATTCCAACCATAAAGGTGCGCTAGTTTGTTTTTGAATTCCTCTTGTTACACTAGCATAATTCTTGTACTTTCCACAACTTATTGAGAACATCTTAAAAATATTTGATGATGTACCATTCAGTAGGTAATGTCCTCTTTAGAAAAACAAATAGATAATATCTGGATTCTCCGGCCGGTGTGAATTAATTGCTCAATATTTATGGAATTTCTAGTACCTACATAAATAGAGTTAGTGTACTTATAGCATGCATAAAAGAATTGAACTCCAAATTAAACAGTCTTTGCTCTATAGCATGGTGGATATCGGAGTTAAGACCAGCTAATGCATATGCTTCTATGGTTTGTATCATCACTCACAATCAAAAACACTGACGTTCCAATGGTTGAGCCATTATTATGAGAAACTTTTTGATGTTACATAGAAGTAATTTCCTATGATGGTATTTTGATTCTTGTGAGATGCATGGTTAAGTACAGCTTTTTCTGTGTTGTATAACCCTTGCTTCAACTTGATTCAACTATGCTTGGTAGGTTTTGGAGGCAATCACCACCAAAAATTGCCAAGAAAATTTTCATTTGGAATCACTGGAGACTCTTGGCGACTCATTTCTTAAGTATGCTGTTTGCCAACAGCTATTTAAAAAAAATCAAAATCATCATGAGGGCCTTCTTAGTATTAGGAAGGAAAAAATTATTTCAAATGCAGCTCTTTGCAAGCTAGGATGCGACAAGAAACTTCCGGTAAATTTTCTTTTGGCTATTGATTTAATTTTTCCAATCATGTCGTCCTCAAGGAGGTTTTGTTCCTCATATGATCAGTTCTTTCTTTTCCTTTATTTGGTGTTTTTTATAGTCCCTCTTTTTAACCATTTTGAGAGATTTACCAAATTAGACTATCTTCGATTTTCTTAGCTATCAAACTCTCCAAACCTATAATATGCTTTCAAAACTTCTCAACCTACAGGGATTTATCCGTGATGAGCCTTTTGATCCCAAAAGTTGGATGATTCCTGGTTATAATTCTGGAAGTTATGCATTAAATGAGGAGACACTGTGTAATACAAGAAAAATATATGTTAGTGGAAGAAGGAAGGTAAAGAGTAAGAAGGTTGCTGATGTTGTTGAGGCACTGATCGGTGCATACCTTAGCACAGGAGGTGAAGCAGCTGGGGTATTATTTATGAATTGGATTGGTATAGATGTTGATTTCACAAATATACCATATGAAAGACATTTCAAAGTGCAGGCAGAAAGGCTTGTTAATGTCCAGCATTTAGAGTCCCTTCTCAACTATTCATTCCAGGACCCTTCTCTGTTGGTGGAAGCACTAACCCATGGTTCTTACATGCTTGCTGAAATTCCAGGATGTTATCAGGTTAGTCTGGTCATAATTTGCTAAACTACTATGCTTTTGTTATACAAATGACTATTAACAGTGCATTTTTTTCATTATTCTATATCTTAATTTTTATGATTCTACGTGGTTAGTTCTGTTCTCTTCTGAGTTCATCTTTAAACATGATTAATGCTTTTCTGCGCAGCGGCTGGAATTTCTAGGGGACTCCGTTTTAGATTATCTTATAACTCTGCATTTATACAATAAATATCCTGGGATCTCTCCAGGGTTATTAACCGATCTGAGGTCAGCGTCTGTTAACAACAATTGCTACGCACTCTCAGTTGTCAAGGCTGGATTGCATAAGTACATACTCCAAAGTTCACAGAAGCTTTACAACCATATAGCAGAAACTGTTAAAAGTTTTAAGGGATTATCCTTGGAACATACTTTCGGATGGGAATCTGAGAAGTCTTTCCCCAAGGTCTGTTATTAGAATTTTACCACTCTTGACTTTACTATTTACCTTTCGGGGCGTCTTATCTGCACAGTGACAATGTTTTTAAAGTCTTAATCGGTTACTGTCAATTCTAATAGCAATCCGTTAAGTTTATTACGTTTGGAAAGCAAGGTGAAACTTGATTTAGTTGACATGAGTCGGAACATATTATACGCAAGTGTGGTACGAGAGTTTCAGAGTATTTGCTTGTCAGATATTAGGTTTTTTTTTGTGGGAATCTGTTATTTACTTTAGGGATAATATCATAAATTATTTTAAATTATAGTGAAATATTTAATATGATATTTGAGCTTTAAAAATTTGAGTTATAAATTTATTGATTAATATGATACTTAAGGGATTATTTGTCAATCACGTATTATCATTTAAAGATAACGATGTTAGAGGTGAGTAATGAGTATCATATTGGTTAATATATTCATAATTTAGATATCAAATTAAAGATTTTTAAAATTCAAGTATCAAATTGAATGTTTTATTATAATTTAAGGGTTATTTGTGACATTAATCGTTTACTTTAGTATAACTTTGCTAGAAAATTACTACTGTTTAATTCGCTAATACAACTTGGTACATAAATCATTGTTATAAATTCTTCCCAATATTGCTGGCATTTGTCTAAATATTATTCATAATTTTAATCAGGTACTTGGGGATGTGGTGGAGTCGCTTGCTGGGGCCATATTTGTTGATTCAGGATACAATAAGGACACTGTATTCCAGAGTATAAGGCCATTGTTGGAGCCGATGATTACTCCGGAGACTTTGACGGTTCACCCTGTGAAAGAGTTAAATGAACTGTGTCAAAAGGAGCATTTTGAACTAAGAAAACCCATTGTTTTAAGTGACAATGGTGTAGCTTCTATTACAATAGAGGTTGAAGCAAACGGTAAGGTATTCAAGCACACATCAACGGCTTATGACAAGAAGATGGCTAAAAAACTGGCTTCCAAACAAGTTTTGAAGTGCCTAAAGGAAGCCAATTTGAGGTAGATTTTGCATTTGGCCTGCCAAGAGTTGAGATGCTCTTCACTTTATACATGCACATATAAGACTATTACTAAAACTGTTGCGACTGAGCATTTGGTATAATGATAAATATTAAAAAAATCCAAATTTTGAGTCCCTCTTCCTCAAAAGTTGTACCTGATAAAAAAAAACCCCAACTTAATTTTTTTTAAAGCATTGTGGAATATAGATTTGTTTGTGATATTAATCTTGTATAATGTAAATTCCCATGAAATTCTTGTAAAAACAATTCTTACTCATTACTGCAATTACTTGAGTTGATACCAAATCATGGACTGCAATTAAGATTGGGATTATTGAGAAAATGACCTTATTGTTTTATTAGTATATTTATTTATATTAATAAACTTAATAATCAAAAAATAATAATCAAATATATATTTATATTTTTTTTTATATGTACAAACTAACGAATTTAGTTAGATGAAATGAATTAAATTGTTTCCCTGATTCCGTCTACGATTAAGACACGGCGGCGTCACCGGAGAGGGAAAAACAAAAATTTTTCTTCCTTGTAATATTGACGATCACCAAGACTAATATTTATCAATTATTATAATTTTAATTTCAATCAAACTTCAACCAAAAATTATATATAAAATAAAGTCTAAAATTTCCCATTTCATTTGCTCTTGCATTGCACGCTTTCCTCTCTTTATATGACCAAAAAATCATAAATTTTATATCCCTGCCTCCCGTTTCTCTAAAAGGAAGTTCAAAATTCTTTGGTATTTGGGAGAAAATAGACGAGCGATGATTGATAGATCGAAAGCGAATCCAAAACCAAAATCTGATCTCCAAAAGCTGCGTTACGCTCCTAATTCCCAACGCTTGACGGATCCAAATTAACCGATCCGACCGGTTTTATTTGTTTATTTATTTATTTTCACGTCTGTACTGTCAGTGGTGAAGAGGGAAAGGGGGAGGGGGATCAGGTGATCGGATGGTGGAGGAGGAGGAGAGAGGATGCCGTCACAGGGAGACCGAGAACGTCAGATCGAGCACCTAATGGAATGTAAGCCGCTGTCGGAGGCGGAGGTAAAGGCGTTGTGCGAGCAGGCACGAGCAATACTGGTGGAGGAATGGAACGTTCAGCCGGTGAAGCGTCCGGTTACAGTTTGTGGAGATATTCACGGACAATTTTATGATCTAATAGAGCTGTCTCGGATAGGAGGCAATCGCCTGATACCAATTATCTCTTCATGGGAGATTATGTTGGTCGGTTAATTAATTTGCTTCTTGATTCTCTTCTCTTCTCTTCTCTTTTCTATCTTTAAATTTTTTTATTTGAAAATTGATGTGATTGATTTAAGAGCACGGCAGTTTTTCGTTATTCTTCTTCCTTTTTTTTTTTTTTTTATTTTGTGAAGAATATTTGGTGAATTTGTTTTGGTCTCTGTAGCTGAATGTCAGAATTGCTTTTTGATTTCGGTTTGTTATTTTTCTTAATATTTCATTTTTTTATGTGAAATTTTTGTGTGGATTAATTGATGGAATGTTATATGATCAAATCTGTAGGTATGTATCTTTCCTGGCTTGGCTTAGAAAATTAAGAGGCATTAGTTAGCCTATTGGTTATCTTCACATGTTGATAAATTGGTGGATTATTATATTTAAATTGTGTCAATTCCAATGGTTTTATGATCCATTATCATGTTACCAAGTTTGCCGTAAATTTACTTTTTTTTTTTTTTAATTACTCTTGGATGCTTAAAACTGCTGAAAATTGTGGGTGGGAATGGTATTTGAGCTTGCCCACCATGGTCTAAACTGTTGGCGACTGTGCACTATCAGTTCCTTATCTCTGAGGGAGTGGAGTTGTATTTTCTCATATCTGTGAGACCAAATTCTTGTTGGGCTAAATTTGGACATTTGCATCTTATCAGGAGATTTTGCTGTAAATAAGAAATACTAGCCATTATGTGTGTCAATTATTATATGCATTAAGTTGTGGCTACCTAGTGCAAGCTTTTAGATGGTTGACGAGAGTGAGATGTGGGTAGAAATAAGTTCATTTTAAAGTGCTTCCTATTAATCAAATAATATTGCAGCTGTTTGCAGATTCAGATTTATGAATGGACTGGGATTTTCTTTTAACTTTAGCTGCATATGTGTGGGTACTACTCAGTCGAGACTGTCACACTCTTAGTGGCCCTGAAAGCACGTTATAGTCATAGAATCACAATTATTAGACGAAATCACGAGAGCCGGCAGATAACACAAGTGTAAGATCTTTTCACCCACCTTTCCTCCTTTTTTTGGTGATGTTGTAGCATACACTGACCAAGAAAATAACATTTAGGCTTTGCTTGATAGGAAGGATAGAAAAGGGTAAGAATGAAAAAATTATTAATCCAATGGTTAAGCTACAAAGTAGGAAAGTGGTTATGAAACTTAACTATTGGATTAACAATTTCTCCATCCTACCAAGCAAAGCCTTAGTTCTTTTGAATACCAGCTGATATCTTTATAACCTGCTTGGCCTTTTGTTGGGTTGAGTGACTTTAAAGGTCTTATGTGCTATGAAGAGCAATGTAATATTGAACACACATAACAGTGATGTATTTTTTTTAATAAACTTTTCAAAATGTGTTTTCTGTTTTGGTTTAGATTGGTTCAGTTTTTATGTTACCTATTTCCACTGCTTTTTGGATTGTTATGCCCTTTCCAAAGAAAAAAGAAAAAGAAGAAAATCCTGCTTTCTGTTTGTTGTATGTAGAATCTCCATTTTGGTAGTTGTGAGTTCTGTTCCCTTCAAGGCTGAAAATGTGATTCTACCGGCCCTTGGGAAAAGGTGACAATTATTCTCCCAAATTATGAGCAGTTATCCTTCCAAATGTTTTAAGCATTTTGTATTGGAAAAAAAGAAAAATAATTTGGCTTTGGAAATATCTGATAGTGCTATTGGGTGGATAATTATTCTGCTATTGAATGGATAATTATTCAATAATCTCCGACCTGTTTGATTTTTGTGAATTATGAAATAATTTATTTAAATTTGGGTTTGCTTAAATGATTTGAATATATTGGTAATTGAGGAATCTTAGTTGATTATTCTTGGAGTTATTTCTTATATTTGAGACAGTGACTAATGTTATTTTAATATTTCTGTGGGAGGATTTAAAATATCTAGACCTTGCATTTGGGTGCATGCATGCAGCGGAGGTTCTTTTTTAGGTTAATAAAATCTGTTGTGCAATAAATCAGCATGATAACTTACTAACTAGTTAATTATTATTGGCTATACACAGTGTTTTGATGATATGCATCAATTTAGTTTTGCATGAACACAATATGCTAGGAGCTTCTTTCTAATAACTGTTGGGTCAACCACCTTGCACTTGTGATGTCAAACCCACTCTCCCCCCTTTTGCCTTTTTAGTATGCTTTTCACTTCTTACGGTTCTTTATTTCCATTAGAAGGAAACTACTGAGCAGTTCTATTTGGGATGATCTTCTTAAATGCCTCCCTTCCCACTACATCTTTTTCTTCCCTGGCTCACTTTCCTCAGTAGTTTTTTCACTTCTTACTTTCTTTATTTCCAATAGAAGAAAACATACAGCATGGCTATTTGGATGCTGCCTAAATGTTTATTTAACCAATTTGCTGATTCTGCTCAATAACATATATAACTCGTGATGAGTATTGCACTTGTGTTATAATACAAGTGCATTAAAATACAAGATTGGTATGTGTCATGCTCAATATTCCTGCTGGATGTCTAGTACTACAATATAAAATTGATTTACATGAATTTGAGACGAGATGAAACAGATTAGGATTGTGATTAGTCAACTTACTTAATATTAAAATGACACTAATTAAAGCCTTGAAAAAGCCTGAGGTCGACATGCCAAATTTTCATTTACCTGTGTCTAAATGGAGTCAAAAATATATTTTATTTAGCTAGAAATGTATTTTTTTTTCAATTGAAAAATCTCAATAATAATGATACAATTAGGTGGTGGGTTTCATGTCAATGGCAAAATACCTCATTCGTTGCAACGCTCCTTTAAACAATAAAACGGTTTCTCTTGAACTAAGAAGGGGAAAGAAGAAAGCGAGTCAGTGTGATAATTCCTCATCCTCAAATTAATCTTTCCCTGGAGCAATGCATAGATAATAGAGATAAGGATGTCAAAATTGACTGATGAAAAGGATACCACATTGGCATTTAATTTATAATACAGAATTTCAACAAATCTTAGGAGTTCTTTTATTAGTGTTTTGTGTGTGTGTGTGTGTGTGTGTGTGTGTGTGTGACAGTAGGAATATTATGGGAATATTTCATGGGAGACAGTTTAGGAAGGATTAATTGGGAGCATTAACGTGTAATCCTTAATATTGTCTATATAATGAAAGGCTAATCCAAGGGATTAGCAAATTGTTCTCTAAAGCCTTAATTCTAACATTTTGAACTTGCTCACATTGTATGGGGTGGTGGTATATTGGGTTGTTATATCATGGTTTTTCTGAAGGTTTTATTTTCCTGTTTTTTCAGGTATGGTTTTACAATGAATGCCTGAGAAAATATGGAAATGCCAATGCGTGGAAGTATTGTACTGCTCTGTTTGATTATTTACCCCCTCACAGCTCTTATTGAGAGTCAGGTTTGGCCTTAACTTGTGGCAGACTGTTTAAGTTGATCAATTCATGACAGCATCTGACAGCCATTGAACTTTGAAATCACAGATCTTTTGTTTGCATGGAGGACTTTCACCATCTTTGGACACCTTAGACAATATTCGAGCATTAGACTGTCTACAGGAGATATGTATATAAGTGATTCTCTCAACTTTTCTTAATCACCTTGATCCATATCCATCGGGAGTACTGGTAATTTGCTATGTACTTTGAAGTTCATGCAATAAATTAAGGTCATTTTGGTATACAAAATTATGATAAAATAATATTATGAATAGGATTAGATTAAATAATATCATCTTATTTTGTGTTTGATATATACAAAGATTAGGATATGATAATTTATTTGTCAAAATTATCCTTCTTCAAAGTTTATATAATTTAAATTATTGATATAATTTTTAATGGTATAATTGGACATGTAAGTTTAATCCTTTGTATTAAAAATAATCCTCTTCATTTATAGAGGATAGAATAATCCTATGTCAAGAGGATATTAATTCTCCTTGCAATCTTTATTCCTTTCTTTAGATACAAATCAAACATGGTATAAAATGATTATTATCCTATCTTATCAATAATTTTATGCATCAAACATGACCTAAAAGTATGCAGGCTTGTTAAATTATGAATGATAGGATAGTTAAGAAAATGGCCCAAAATTTGGATCTTAGTATTAAACTTTATTATTTCCTTTGGTGTCAAGGGTGTAACTGGAATTTTCTAGTTAAGTTACCTCAGGTCTTTGATGCATTATTTTGAAATCTTATGATCTTGATTAATTATTTGGTTGGTTAGATTGTGTGTAATTATGATATTGTGTGGCTTTATTCATGGGTAGGTTCCTCATGAAGGACCAATGTGTGATCTCGTGGTCTGATCCTGGTGACCGCTGTGGATGGGGGATATCTCCTCGTGGTGCTGGATATACGTTTGGACAAGACATTGCTGCTCGGTTCAACCATACCAATGGTCTAACTCTAATTTCAAGAGCCCATCAGCTTGTCATGGAAGGATACAACTGGTGTCAGGTGTGAAACCCAAAGGAAATAATTTAGCCTGGTTTTGTCACATGTTTTGCTTATATATATATATATATATATATGAGTGGTGGATCATATTTAATATGTGCCCTCCTTCGGGACAAGAATGTGGTTACCGTCTTAAGTGCTCCAAACTATTGTTATCGATGCGGGAACATGGCTGCAATTTTAGAGATTGGGGAGAATATGGACCAGAATTTTCTTCAGTTTGATCCACCACCCCGGCAAGTGGAGCCTGACACCACACGCTAGACTCCTGATTATTTTTTGTAATTTTTTACATATATATATATACATAAACATTAAATATATATATATATATATATTTCTGCTCGATGTTTCTAGCCCCCGGTTGCTGCTGTATCACCGTCGATGTACCTTTGAAGCGAGAAGCTTTTTCTTTGTTTTGAGTTGAGGTTCATCGACAACGTCATTCTTTGATTTGAAGTTTGTCTTGCTGCTGCTTTGTCAATGAGCTAACGAATCCCATGGCAGTACTGATGAAGGCCCCAATGGTCTGTTTTCTTGTATATTTCTCACAGAAAAGGAAGCAGCAATAACATCTTATATCTTGTTTTGTAATTATGCACTTCCAAGATAGAAGGAAAATTTATTTTCTAAATCCAAAAATGACATTCACGATGGACTGATGGCACAAAAAACACGCCGTTGCGCATTTTCTAGAGACTCATGCTTTCACGCAATGTTTTGTGACAAGTTCACAACCTAAGCCAAGGATGCTCATATAGAATTGCTATCAGTAAGGAGATAAGAAACAAACAGCATATGAATAATAAAGACTCATGGAACAAGGGCCGAAGGAACAAGTTCAAAGTTGCATCAAAACTACATAGCGGCTTGCTAACAATCATTTCGTCTGCTCTAGTAATTAAAGTTTGATCCCATCCAACCTCAAGGACCAAAAAAAATAAAAAAGACATTTTTGCAGCTCAGTAATTAAAGGATCTTTGTATCATCGCTTACTAACAACAGACCACCAAAATGTGTAAGCTTCAATCCATGATTGCAGGATTATCAAGAATCAATTACACCATTACATTTGAGGAAAATTTAGATTAAAATTTACTTTAATGCTATGCACACAATCACCAAGAGAAATGTCCAGCTCCTCTGTTTTATAAATTGGACATCAGTCACAACAAATATAACTGGGATTTAACTTAACCAAGCTACGGCTGCGCGGCCTTCACAAGTTGTAAATTTAATACAGGGCTACCTTGAATAGAAGAGATGCAGAAGTGTACTAAATCTACTTAACGAATTTTAATCAAAGGGGAAAAAAAGGAGTAACTGACATTAGCTTTTCTTCTGATTACGTGCTAGGCTTTTATGGTAGGACAGAAGCAAAAAGAATTCTAGTTTAAAAACAGAAAACGAATTTCATGAGAAATACCTTTTAGTATGAGTTTCAAATTTCTTATGCAGCCAATTAATAGGCATTACAGGCAAATAGAAGTTGAGATCCAAAAAGCCAAAAACAAGAGATCTAAAACAAAAAGGAATAGGTATTCAACAATCCAGTTCAAGTCCATTTTCAGAATGGCTACAAAAATTTCAAAAATTCCAGAATAAACACTATTAAATATGTAACCTGATTCTTGTTTTGAGGATAAAGAAGATGATTCTTGTCAAAGTACTCAATTACAAAAATCAACCAAAAGACAAAAACCAAAAAGTACATACCTCAAAACCCAGTAATGATAACTTCTCTTCATTAACTGCTTGTATACAGCTTCTATAGGTAATGTAGGCTCGTACCTCACCCTTTGATGTGGATGAATCATCAAGTAAGCTTCTACGTTTTCTTGAATTTTCATTGCTAACGGAGATTTCAAGTTTAGACCTACTCTTTTCAGATTTTTCTTTATTTTCAACCTTTGAACTATCATCAATTTCTACACATTTGAAGGGGATACGATATCCTGTCTCGCTGCATCGATATTTTTTGTCACTCTGGAGTCCCCAAAACAATTACAAAAAAAATGTATATATATAAGGCCACAAAGATTGCTGAGGGCCGAATACCAGAAAAATAAAACAGCAGACGCATAGTGAAATACGATCAAATGTTGTCTAAAGGTTAGAAGCAATGATAATAGGGCCTTCAATGGCTGTAATGTAAATATAACAGTTATTTTCAGATGTGAAATGGTAATACCGAGATCACTGATTAATTTTCTCGGAAAAGGAGTATCCTTTTCAAGTAAATATACTTGTAATTTTAAATATTAAGAAACCCGGATCCCAGAAAACTTAATTGAACTTCATATATCTTGTTATATATTTCGACTAATGCCAAAATTTACAACTTTATAAATTGAAGGTAAGGCATTTAACAATTCAATTAACACATTAAAAATTTTTAAAATGAGATCAAATGTGGAAATTAAAGAAAGAGAGCAGGAAAAAGGAGAGACCTTCTCAGAGTAAAAGCAAGGAATGCAGGGACCAGAGGGGGAGCAATCGAAAGTACGGTTACTTCCTTTGGAAGATTCTTTGAAGCTCATCAAAACTCTCTGCCCAATTCTTTCACTGCATTCATTCTCTAATTAACATTCTACATTCATATGAAAATAATAATTTAAAAAAAAAAAGAAAAATTGGGAAATTACTGTTGGTAGTCAATTGAAGAAGCTGAAGCTGAGGCTAAGACGGGAAGGAGGAAAGGGAAGGAAAAGAGGAGCAGAACAACTGATGAATTCCAAGATCTCATTCCTTTAGATTTTCTTTTCTCTCTCTTTTCTTCTTCAATTCGATTCTAGTTATTTGCTTTTTTTTTTTCTTCTTTCAGTTTCACACAAAAATAGCGTCCTTTTCTTTCCTGGGATCTTGGCTTTGCTTTATTACAAAACTTCCCCCAATGTCGGAAATATTGTGCAAAGGCACTGGAGGTTGTAGGTTTTCCTTTTTTGCCATAAAGGCTTGCTTTTTTTTTTTTTTTTTTTTTTTTTTTTTTTTTCAAATAAATAAGCTTACGATTTTCTTTTTCTTTTGCACAAAAAAGTAACAGATCGGGATAGAAAAAAAATTTAAGGAGTTAGAATTTAAATTTTAAATTTATTAAATAGTATTTTTTTAAAATAATTATATAAATAATTAAATTAAATTTTATATTTCTTTGAAAACAAGTTAAAATTTATAAGTTTATAATATGTTAAGAAATACATCCTCTGTATATCTATATATATATTTCAGGCAATGGGCAATGTAACATAACACATATTAAGGCTTTAACCTTAAGCCTACTAACAACAACCCAAAGCAGCTCTTCATTCCAGTCACCCATCTCCCTCACACATCTGAAAAAACTAATGCCAAATACCTCTTTTGAGAAATCATCTTCAAAAAAACAACTGGTCTCTAGTCTCCATCCAGCTTGTGATTACAAAAAATGCAATCCCCAGTAATAGGGATTCCTCACGAAATTAATTTGTCTTTTGTAGGAAGCCTGTTCAGAAGGACCATCCAAGTGATTAAACAATGCTTGGAAATATACAACATTGAGACCGAAGAAACCTACGCTCATCTGTGCCAGAATCCACTGCCAAACATTCACTCCTAGTTATCAGAACAGATTGGACATTAAACCATTTAAGATTTTAAATAATCGGATTAATGATTTAATTATTGAATTAATCGGGTTTTTATTTAATAAATATTATTATAAATATATAAATATTTTAAAAATTCAAAATTCAAACTTTTAACTTAAGTTATAGTTTAATAATTCAATTATAAAATTATAAATTTTAAAGTATATCATAAATTACAAATTTTAAAATATAAAATTTATAAAATAATTAATTATTAGTTAAAAATAAAATTACTTAACATTTTATTAAAATCATATTTTATTTTTAATAGTTAGAAATAATATTTATATTTTAATAAATATAATAAATAAAAACTAATTAATAATTATTTTTATATTTATTAAAATATAAATATTATTTATTAATATATAATAATTAACCTTTATGTAATAAAAACGAAATATCTATATATAAAATTAATAAAAAAGAAATATTTATATTTATATGAAAATTAGTAAAAAGGAAATTTAAATAATTTAAATATTTTTTATTTGAATGTAAATTTTTTTTATTAATTTTACATATATACATTTTTTATTAATTATTTTTTATCATAGTCAAATAATTAATCATTTTTATTAATATTTTATTTTTTATTAATTTTATATATTATTAATTTTATAATTATTTTTAATTATGATGTCAATTAATAAAATTTTTTGTTAGATTATTTTTATAAAAATTATTTATTTTTATGCATGAGTAAGTTTTTTTGTAATTTCATTATTCACATGTTTAAAAATATGATAACATATCATTAATATAAAGATCCAAGGATTTTAATAGTAAAAAATAAGAGTTGAGGAGCTTATTTATATAAAATAGTAGTATAAGGGTTTAATTAGATTATTTTGAATATTTGAATGATTTTTTTATATTTTATTTAAATTTATTAATTAATATTGAGCTAATCTAATTTTTTAAAAAATTTATATAATTTATTAATTTATTATGTAAACCATCAATTCATAATAATTTAAAATAATTTAATTATAAAATTAATCTAATTATAAAATCGAATTGATTTCAATACCAATTTATCGGCATCCGAATTTAATAACTATGCATCTACCCCAATTTTTTTTTTTTTTACCAACGAAATGAGATTAATGAGATACAATTCAATATCACATTAAATATATATAATATATAAATTAAAACTTGACTTTATAAATAGCATGACATAAAAATTGGTCATTCAACAAGAAAATTGAACTGGTCTACGTTTACTTTATGATGTGATATTGGGGGCCACATCGAACACATGGGTAGTTTGGTAACGTTCTGAAAGGCACTGTCAGTCTACCTTCTGTTCGGTCCATAACTCAATCAACACTAATATTAATTAAAGATTTAAAGTACTTTTGCATTTTATTAGTAAGCAGATTAACACTTGTAGAACAGATTCTTCTTAACAATTCTATAAAAAAATAATAATAAATAAAGAAAAATATTGTTCTTAGCTAGTTTTGTCATTCCAAAGAATCACTCCAGCTGTTAATTTCTAACTTAAAGACCTTAAACAAGGTTAACCATTGTTATCAATTTCGGTCCAACGGTTAGACCCCTGAGTGACACAATATTTGATTTGAATCTATTTTTTAATTGGATTGTTTATTTTTTTATATATAAATAACTGGATTGTTTATTAAAAATCCGTTGATCCATCGAGTTTTTTTTTTATTCAGATTAATTAAAATAATTTTAAAATTATATTTAATTTATTTTTTGCACGTTAATTATTGATTCTCTCATTATTTTATTAATAAAATATTTTCTTAAAAAATTTAAAAATAACATTGATAACAAATTATAAAAATTGAAAATAAAAAATCTTTGTGAATTTGAATTTCTTTATAAATTTTTAAATGATAATAAGTATTTTTAATTTTATATCTTAATTTTAGTATATAAACGTAAAATTTTTATATAATCTATAATTTTATTTATAATATTTTAAAATTTTTATTAATCCAATATTAACTCAAATGACTCAACAATTAAATCGTTTGATTCAAAATTTGAAACTTGAATGGATTGCGTGCAATCCGATTTTAATAACAGACCAATTAAGAGCAAGTTTCTTGTTTGTTAATCATGTAAAAGTAGTCTACATAGGCTAAACTCATGTTCATTTTTCCCATTTCCAGATTCAGTTTCAGGTCTCAAGATGGAAATGGACAAGAAGATCCAGAAAGTGTGATACTGGCAGGCCCTGCAATCAAGCAATTATTTGATGCACCAGGAAAAAGGAGTACATTCGTCATGGTAGTAAAAGCGAGAACTGATTCAAATCACAACCACAAGCCTTCCCCCCCAACAAGATTTGATTGCATTCACGCAGATGATGGGATGAGCCCCTCAAAGATTTGGCCATCTCAATTCTCAATTGAAAATTTCAAAACAATAATCCCCCTTCCCCAGGGGCCCAGGGCGGTGGGGTCTGCGGCACGTGCTTTTGTATTTCAAGGACAACCTCTGCTCCAAAAATCAGAAATGTGGAAGATTAGTAATTGACTAATTAGGTGAAACCCATATGCCCGGTTTGGTTGAAGAAAACACCATTTCATGGTCCCAATCGAAAAGGGTATGTCAAAAATATTAACAGACTATGATAAAGTAGATCATCCCATCTCTTCCTGCCTTTCCAGAATCGTAGTTAATATTATCACGGGAACACTGTGTTGTGTTGGCCGCGTATAGTTCATGTGAATCTTGACTACTGAACAAACTGATCAGGGATTAAATGCTGCTTGCTGCAGAAGAGATCAGCTGAAAGGTATTGGGCTACAGGCAATTCATCAATCTACTCTGCAAATGAATACGTAGGAGGACCCAAGGCATTCATGAAACAGAAAGTTGGACGGAAAATTTTAAGATTTTCAGAGAATAAGGTCCATATGGTTTGATTTCATTTCATACATGATGAATTTTTATCTCAGATTTGTTAAAAGGTATATCAGCCTGTGCACACATATTATTCCTTTTGAAATTATATTTCGTTTTGCAGAGAAAAATCTTGAAGCAAACGAGTAATAATGGGCGGTCCATATATACTCCATTCAACATAGATTGATGATCATTTGGTCAAGGAAAATATATACAATTCTAACTCCTAAGTTGGGAGGTTTTCTACCTATAAAGATTTGGCTCTTTTCTTTTTTCCAAACAATGTTCAATGGTTTTACATCTTTCCCTTACTAACGTTTGGATCCTCTATCGCCACCATGCCGTTATGTTGACCCAAAACTTTTGAAGCTTCCGACCTAAACTCTATTGTTTTTTTTTTTTTTTAAGTAAAAAAGTACATTTTAATTTATCACTTTCCCCAAATGCACTCCACTTGTTTGGTTCCTTAAATTAGCTAATGATTAGCCTAATAGCCACTTTCAACTATACACACTTGTTTAATACAAATATTTCATACATTTTCATAAAATGATCAAACATAAGTTTTCAAAATTTTATTATATCCCTAAAATAAAAAATAAATACTCGAATGCATCATTTGCTTGTGATGCTTTAATGCATGTAGCACGGCTCCATTCTATTTCGTAAATAGTACAGATATTATCTATGGGAATTCTTTCACGGTTTAGTACTTCTAAATGTATTTTCATTTTTTTTTACTCTTTTTTTAAAATTATTTTTAAATAACTTTACTTAATTACTCTTTTTCATCTAAATTTAAAAATTTTGAATTATGCATATCATCTATCATCTATATATCTATATAAAAATATGAATTCTAAAAATATTAAAAATAAATGACTTAAATGCCCTATAAATTTTAAGAAATAACAAATTTACCTTTAAATTTTTAGCATTTTTTATTTATTTAATAAAGATTATTTTTCATTAAATGTATAACTTTTATTAGTTAATTATTTAAATTAAAATATAAGTGTTAAAAATTAATAACATAAATACCCTTATAAATTTTAAAAAATAATGAATTTATATTTCAATTTCTAGCATTTTTATTTATTTAATAAATATTATTTGTCATTAAATATGTAGCTTTTATTTATTTAAATTTAAATCAATTAAAAATTTACAAATAAAATTTATATCAAATTAAACTACATTAAAAATTTATTTGTGGGATATAGTAGATCTATTGTCCAAAATTAACTCAAAGTTACTTATCTTTATTTTTAGAATTCTTTTTTGTTAAATTTCATAAGTAATAATTCTATCAAATCCATATAAAACACATTCTCATCCAAGGGGTTGTGGCATAATATGAATCCGTG